AGCTACTTTTACTTACAAATCGTTTACCACAAACTCCACAACCATATGGCTTCTCGCCAGTGTGTATCTTTTCATGAATTTGTAGACCATTGTAGCTTAAAAATCCTTTGCTACAAACTACACAACTATATGGTTTCTCTCCATTATGTGTCTTCTCATGTATTTCAAGTTTATTTTTTGTTCGAAGTTGTTTACCACATACAACACAACTGTATGGCTTTTCCTCAATGTGTATTTGCTCATGTCTCTTCAAGTTACTTTTACATACAAACTGTTTACCACATACTACACAACTGTATGGTTTTTCCCCAGTATGTACCTTCTCGTGAATGTTTAGACCATTTTTACTCAAAAATCCATTGCCACAAACTGCACAACTGAATGGCTTTTCCTCAGTATGTACCTTCTCGTGAATGTTTAGACCTTTCTTACTCAAAAATCCTTTGCCACAAACTGCACAACTGTACGGCTTCTCACTAGTGTGTATTTTCTCATGACTTTTTAAGTTACCTTTACGTGCAAATCCTCTACCATACGCTGTACATCTATAAGGTTTCTCCACAGTGTGTATCTTCTTGTGACTTCTTGGGATACTTTCACTTATACTCTTGTCACCAGTACTTATACCTTGATGTTCTTTCAGGTGATCTCCACTGAAGATTTTTTCATACATCTTTGGATCTAAACTCAAAATAAATTACATATAATATCATACACACAATTAGAGAAAATAACATATAAACTATAAGGATTTAGTGTAAAAAAAAAACGTTTGAAATGCATCTAGGAGGTTTTAGAGATTACACAAAGGAAATTTGAGATTTTTGAGATGACAAAAAGTATTTTTAATTTGAAAATGAAAATTACTTTGCACACGGACTATTCATAACAAATACTCAATATATTCATGGACAAATCTGTATTTTATTTTATTAGAAATACTTCACTAAGAAATATGACTTTTTATATGTGAAAGACTAGTAATATTAACTGAAAGACTGCCAAATTTCGTGAAGATATACCCAATATATAGAGAGTTATAAGTATTAAATTTATATCAACTTTAAACG